TATTGTTGCCAACCTGTACATGGAGGAGGTAGAAAAGAGAGCCTTGACGTCCTTTTCAGGGACACCACCAAGTCATTGGTTCAGGTATGTTGACGACACCTGGGTTAAAATTAAATCTCAGGAAGTCCAACATTTTACTGACCACATCAACTCTGTGGATAAATACATCAAGTTCACACGAGAAGATATAAAAAATGGCAAGTTGGCTTTCTTGGACTGTGAGGTCTCAGTCTCTGATAGAGGACATTTGCAAACCGAGGTGTACCGCAAACCCACCCACACAGACCAGTATTTGCAGTTTGACTCCCATCACCCATTGGAGCACAAGTTAGGAGTCATCAGGACTCTGTATCACAGAGCAGACAGCGTCCCCACTAGCTCAGGAGCCAGGCAGAAGGAGAAATCCCAAACAAGACAGGCTCTAGAGCAATGTGGATATCCTAACTGGGTCTTCCTGAAAGCAGAGAAGAAACCCAAACAGGACTCCAGTCAGCCATCAGGTGAAAAGGAGGAACCCAGACCCAGACCAGTGGTCATTCCATATGTTGAGGGAGTATCAGAGAAACTGAGACGTTTATTTTCTAAACATAACGTCCCAGTGGCTTTTAAACCCCAAAATACATTACGGCAAAGACTGGTTCATCCCAAAGATCCAGTCCCCCGGCACAAACAGAGTAATGTTGTGTATGCTGTTCAGTGTCAGGAGGGTGATCAGTCTTACATCGGGGAAACTAAACAGCCACTGGCCAAAAGGATGGCCCAGCACAGAAGATCAACATCATCAGGCCAGGACTCTGCGGTCTACACTCATCTCCAGGCCAGCTGTCACTCTTTCAGGGATGAAGATGTTCACATCCTGGACAGAGAGGAACGATGGTTTGAGAGAGGAGTAAAGGAGGCCATCTTTGTGAAAAGAAATCGTCCATCATTAAACAGGGGTGGAGGCCTCCGGGTTCAACTGTCCCCCTCTTACAATGCTGTGATTGCTAGTATCACTCAGCCCTCTGTGAACAGTAAACAGCCATCAGTGTGCTAATGATCCATTGTTAGGCTGATGGTCCTTCTTGAGCATGTGATCAGCTGGTTTTGGTTGTCAGCAGCAAAACTGGTTGATCCACTCTGAGAAGGTGCTATTTAAGAGACTGAGCTGAATACAGCACCTCAGACTGAAGAAGTCTCTCGGATGAAAGAGGAAACGTTTCTAAATGTTTTTGTTTGTTTTGTTTTGTTTTTTGAATGTCCAGAGGACCAGATTTAACTTTTTTAAATTTTTCTACCTGGATTATTGAGCATGCATCAGGAAACATTTTCTCTAGTTTTTCATATTAATTTTTTTTGCATTTCTCCAGCATACGTTTTTGTTTTGTATTTATTTCAATTTATCATGTTATAACCAGGTGGATCCGTCTGGTTGCTACGACAACCTGGTGACTGTCAGGTCCTTCCTGCCTCACTATCGGCTCGTCGGAGGAATCAACCTGCCCAAGATCATCGACTGCTCCGGCTCTGACGGAACGAGCAGGAGACAGCTGGTCAAAGTGAGCCTTCGTTGTGTGAAGAAATGTTCCAAATATACTTGTTTATACTTAATAAGTGCATTAGAGTGCACAGTACTAGCACGCACTTATTTGTATTTTTAACCCTGTCCCAACATGAAGCTGAGCGTCAGTGAGATTAAACTTTAACCATCTCTGAGGTGAAGCTGCTCACATGATGCTTCAGTTATTTTCCATCTGGTTTGTCTGCTTAAAATAATTAATCCTGGTTTTACACCGGGACAAACACGTTTTTACACCTGCGTAATGAACACACCGATTATGAAACAGCAGAGGAAGATGTGTGTGTGTGTGTGTGTGTGTGTGTGTGTGTGTGTGTGCGTGTGTGTGTGTGTGTGCACAAGTGTGTGAAAGTGTGTTTATGTTACAGAAACATAAAAGTCACTTCAGTGTTGATTGCCAGAGTCAACAGAAACTTTTTATTTTATTTGCAATCCATCCATCTATCCATTCATTATCTTCCACTTGTTCTGAAGTCGGGTCGCGGGGGGGCAGCAGCTTGAGCAGGGAGGCCCAGACATCTCTTTCCACAGACACCTCTTCAAGCTCTTCTGGGAGAGGTAGTCTCTCCAGCGTGTCCTGGGTCTTCCCCAGGGTCTCCTCCCAGTCAGACATGCACGAAGCACCTCCCTAGGGAGGCACCCAGGGGGCATCCTTACCAGATGCTCGAACCACCTCATCTGACTCCTCTCAATGTGGAGGAGCAGCGGTTCTACTCCAAGTCTCTTTCCGATAACTGAACTTCTCACCCTATCTTTAAGGGAGAGTCCAGCTACTCTGCAGAGGAAACTCATTTCAACTGCCTGTATCTACGATCTCATTCTTTCAGTCACTACCCAGAGCTCGTGACCATAGGTGAAGGTAGGAACGTAGACTGAACGGTAAACAGAGAGCTTTGCCTTACAGCTCAGCTCCCTCTTCACCAAGACAGATCAGTACAGAGTCCACAATACTGCAAATACTGCACCAGTTCATCTGCTAATTTCACACTCCATTCTTCCCTCACTCGTGAACAAAACCCAGAGACATTTGCAATTAACCCTAAAATAAACATCCATCCAACGTTACCGCTATTTTATCACTATGTTCGATTTATTGTTCTGGATAACGTTTTACAAGGCAGTAGTCTATGCTAGCTTATCTAAACATTAGCTCACTAATTTGAGAGGCACACAGCTAATGACAAGCGGGTTGGAGGATTGAAAATAAATTATTGTTTATTTTTTATTTTACTGATCACTTAAAATAAACTTACCAAGCTTTGTTCAACAAAATACACTACAGTATTTTTATATCACAGATATGTCCCCTAATGCCTATATCGGCCTAAAATATCGGCCCCTACTGATATATCAGTCAGACTCTAGTGTAAAGAGCTATTTACAGCAGATGAACAGTATCTTAATGTTTTTAAGAAACCAAAAGATGTCATCATCATCCTGCAGTGTTTTCCACATTTTTCAGTCTTCCACCCATGAAACAACCAACACTGACTATTGTTGGGTCAAGTGTTCATTATTGTTCATCCGTTTAAATCGACTGTTTTCATCTCTTTGAAACAATTGGAGATACATAGATGGTTAATGATAATCCATCCATCCATTATCTTTACCTGCTTCTTCCTTATCGGGTCGCTAGTGCCCATGTCCAGCTATCACTGTGCGAGAAGCGGGGGACACCCTGGACAGGTCTCCAGTTCATCACAGGGACACGTATAGAGACAAACGAGACAAACAACCATTCACTCTCTCACTAGCTAAAGGCCAAAATTAGCCAAATGGTAGCTAAAAGCTAAGGATTAAGCAAGTTTCTTAAAGTAGATTTGAAATACCTACAAGTTTTTATAAGGAATTGAAGTTTTCTATACATTTCAAGGAAAATAATTACAAAACAAAGTTAAATATTTAAGAATTAAGTTATGTTAACCAAAAGTCATAACCGTAATGTCTTGAACGAGCTGAATGTTTTGACGCATGAATAATTTAAACAACTGAAAGGATACTGAAGTAGGTACAGTCCAAAAAACTATTAACAGGAAAACTCTTTTGAGACTCAGCACTCACACAATTAAGAGGTTCAGAATTAGGACAGTATTTCTGAGTGTCACAGGGTTTTAAATGTTGGGTACAACATGTAAAAAGTCGTAAAGATCTTTGCAGGAGCAAAATAAAGAGAATAAACACATTGTTAGTGCGAACTGTGGACCATTTGCGCTCCTTGGTGATTTTCTCCCGTGTCTTTGGTAACAGGGTCAGGACGACCTGCGGCAGGACGCAGTGATGCAGCAGGTCTTCAGCATGTGCTCCATGCTGCTGCAACGAAACACTGATACTCGGAAGAGGAAGCTCAACATCAGAAGATACAAGGTGACCACTGATTTCCAGAAAGAAAGCTCAAGTCAGGAATAAGTCTTTTTTATTGTTTGTGCTTGCTAGCTGTTATTTTTGTCCTGAAATACGACATCAGACCTTCTCTTATGTTGACCTTTCATCCTTGAATATCAGGTGGTACCGTTCTCGCAGCGCAGTGGGGTGTTGGAGTGGTGCTCTGGCACGGTGCCCATTGGGGAGTTCTTGGTGGATCCTAACAAAGGAGCCCACAAACGCTTCAGACCACAGGACTGGACCGGCATGGCTTGCCGCAAGAAAATGATGGTATATAAAAAAAAACTGTGTGCGTAATATGCTGTTTAAAAAATATGCTGGTAAATACATATGAACCTGAACCATTTGCTAAGAAAGTAGAAGCTTCCCTCTAAAGAATACGTATTGCCCGCTGCCTTGCATGCCGAAGATGTAAACAGGAATCTTTGTTTTGTGATTGACAGAACTTTAAAAAATTTTATATACACTAATACAGATGTCCCTCGATTATCGCGGGGGTTACATTTCAAACACCCCCGTGATAGGTGAAAAACCACGAGGTAGGAACGCTATATTTATTTTAGTATATATATATATATACTAAGCTTAAACCAGCTACTAGGGAGCACAAGCCAGTGTATCTCTTGTGCTGGTCCCAAGCCCACGTAAATGGTGAGGGTTGTGTCAGGAATGGCATCTGATGTAAAACACTTTTGCTAAAACCATAGTGCGAGTTCATCAACGTGAAACCATACTAGATTGGTCGAGGCCCGGGTTAACAATGACAGCCACCGGTGCTGTTGACAAACAGGGTGCTGGCAGAAATTGTGCTACTGTTAGTCGAAGACCACGAGGAGGGGAATGTGTCAGGAGGCAGAGGGAGAAGAGGAAAGTGAAGAATGTAGGACTGAAGGTTGCAACTCTAAATGTGGGGATAATGACAGGTAAAGGTAGAGCTGGCTGACATGATGCAGAGAAAGAAGGTAGATGTTTTATGTGTCCAAAAGACCCAAGTGGAAGGGCAGCAAGGCTCGCAGCATTGAAGTAGGGTTCAAACTGTTTTACCATGGTGTGGATAGAAAGAGAAATGGAGTAGGGGTGGTCCTGAAGGAGGAGTTGGCAAATAATGTAGTAGAGGTGAAAAGAGGATCAGATAGGGTGATGTGCCTGAAGCTAGAAGTAGAAGGTCTGATGCTAAATGTTATCAGTGGTTATGCTCCACAGGTTGGATGTGATGTGGAGGAGAAAGATACATTTTGGAAGGATCTGGATGAAGTGATATAAAACATTCCCAGGCAGGAGAGCGTGATGATCGGAGCAGACCTGACTGGGCACGTTGGTGAAGGAAACAGAGGAGATGAGGAAGTGATGAGTAGGACAGACCAGGAAGGACAGATGGTAATGGATTTTGCCAAGAGAATGGAAATGGCTGTAGTCAACACCCATTTCAATTCATTTTATTTATATAGCGCCAAGTCACAACAGAAGTCATCTCAAGGCACTGAACAGAAACATTCATATATAAAAATAATAGTTTAACATTATTTATCTGAGGAGCAGACTGCTTTGAATTTAACTCCATCACAGAACTGTCATCTTGAGCAAGCATGAAAACGACAGTGGGAAGGAAAAACTCCCTCATGAAGAAGAAACCTTTAGCAGAACCAGACTCAGGACAAGCGGCCATCTGCTTCGACCGGCTGGGTTTGAGAGGAATAGATACACAATGGCAGGTTTAGAATCACATGTTAAGATAGAAATAGTGTCAATTGAAAACTATTCAGTTTAAGGCAGTATAACAAACCAACCCTAACTATAGGATTTATCAAAAAGGAAAGTCTTAAGCCCAGTCTTATAACTGGACAATGTGTCAGCCTCATGGACAGAAACTGGAAGTTGGTTCCACAAGAGAGGAGCCTGATAACTAAAAGATCCTCACATTCTGCTTTTGGAAACTCTAGGAACCGCAAGTAAGCCGGCAGCCTGAGAGTGAATTGCTTTGTTAGGAAAATATAGAACAACAAGATCTCGAATATAAGATGGAGCTAGGTTGTTGAGATCTTTGTAGTTTAGAAGTAGGATTTTGAATTCAATTGTGGATTTGACACGGAGCCAATGGAGAGAAGCTAAAACTGGAGAGATATGATCTTTCCTACTAACTCCAGTTAATACTCTGGCAGCAGCATTTAGGATTAACTGGACTTTTAAAAAAAGTATTTAGACACCCAGATAACAAACCATTGCAATAGTCCAGTCTAGACGTGACAAATGCATGAACCAGTTTTTCTGCATCATTTTTAAATAAGATGTTTCTAATTTTATCGATAATAAGAAGATGGAAGAAGGCGATTCTAGTAACATTTTTAATGTGGGGGTTAAAAGACATGTCCTGATCAAAAATAACACCAAGATTTTTAACATTAAAACTGGAAGCCATATTAATGCCATCCAAGGAGGGTGAAAGACTGAAATATGTATTCCTAAGATGCTCAGGTCCAAAAATTAAAACCTCAGCTTTGTCTGTATTCAAAATGATAATTTGGATGATAATTTCCAAAAGAGGGAGGAACAAAGAGTGACCTATAAGAGTGGAGGAAGGAGTACGCAGGTCGATTACATTCTGTGTAGAAGAGGAAACCTGAGGGAAATTGGGGACTGTAAGGTTGTCGCAGGAGACAGGTAGGTAGGTACTTGGTGTGTTTTCTGGACAGAGAATGGATGATAATGTAACCTGGTGGTGGAATAGTGAAGTGCAGGAAACTATTCAAAGAAAGAGGTTAGCCAAGAAGAAATATGACAGTGAGAGGACTGAAGAGACGAGACAGGAATATAAGGAGATGGGACGTAGAGCAAAGAAGGAGGTGGCAAATGCTAAACAGAAGGCATATGATGGGGTGTGTGATAGGCTGGACATTAAAGAGGGCGAGAAGTACTTGTAACGATTGATGAGACAAAGGGACCAGGCTGGAAAGTATGTGCAGCAAGTTAGGCTTGTTAAAGATAGGAATTGTTCTAACAAGTGAGGAGAGTGTGATGGGAAGATGGAAGGAGTACTTTGAGGATCTAATGAATGATGAGAATGAAAGAGAAAGAAGATTAGAGGTCATAGAAACTGTGGGCCAGGAAGTGGGAAAGATTAATGAGGGTGAAGTCCAGAGGGCTCTGAAAAGAATGAAGAAGGGGAAGGCAGTAGGACCTGATGACAACCCAAGTTTAGAAATGTCTTGGAGAGATGGCAGTGAGGTTTGTAGATGAACAGATGCTCAGATATATTCATCATTTAACACGGATTCCTCATTTTTCTGGACTGAATAAAACGTGCATTGAATTTAAGGAAATGCAAACGTGAGACGTCATTTATATTTGACCCATCAAAATGAATGCGGTCATTTATTTACAGAATCAAAATTTAACATCAAACATTTACATTAATTTGGCAAATTATGAAAATAACAACATAAGCAATCAATCAGGAAAAATCATACGGCCATGATTTTTCCGTTGCTTCACCACAGACATTTATGAAAACTGTACAATTATGATCTTTTACCCACATGAATGTGGGTGAGCATTTTACACAGACATTTCTAAAATATCTGGAAGAATTTCTACTTGATAGAAAAGTTTAAAGATGGAAAGAAGTTTAGAGGGAGTAAGATGGTGTGTGAGGGGTGAAATGTGTTCACCAGAATCGACACTCTCCGGCTTTCTTCAGCTTTTCCTTACAGTACACTTAGGTGATGAAATCGGCTCCTTTACCTGGAGATGTCTCAGGTGAGATTCCGTTTAACGCACCCTTTCAGCGTCTCAGTAGGATGCTGTTACTCGTCCGAAGTAATGGCGAGGCTCTGTTCGACACATATTCACCTCAGTGGAAAATGTTATAATCCCATGGAACTCGGAAGAGCTCTGTTGTCAGGATCATCCCGTCTCTCACAGAACTGGTTGGACTGTGTATCCAGCAGAACTCCAACAGCACTCCATCAGAACTTCAACAGAACCAAGACCCGAGTAGACCAGGAAGTACTGACATTTTAAAGAGCTCTTTCCCGGTTCACTTTTGGGATTTGTTCATTGGTCAGAAACGACCAGACGGGGTGTGTTTTGTGACGTAAGAGGTTAGAGACAGCGAGAATTGTTATGAAATAGATCAGAAATGTTCTCACAGACAGAGAGAGTTTTGTTTTGGCGCTTTATTCCAACCTTGGACCAACTTACACTTGCTCATTCAAAAGCAGAAATCAGAAAAGGCATAATTACTCTGTAACAGCTTTGACATGAGAATAAAAATCATTACACAGTTAATAAAATTGATTAGTTCACTGCCACATCTAAAATGGTTTGAACTAAGACACTTTGATTATCAACATTTGAAAAATAGTAATGATAATAAAAAGAGTGTTCTTTTCACTTGAATCTTCAAGAAAGAAAGTCTCAGGATGGGTGAACCTGTATTTCTGAGTTCAAATCAATGAAATGACAGTCCCTGTCCCACAAGGTTCTAAAGGTCAAGAGTTTTGACCTTAGACTTAGTTTTTGACATGGGCCTAGTCCACTACAGTTTTTAGATTCAAATATTCAATGGCATATTTTAAGGTGAGAAAATGTCTGAGGAATGGAGAAGTGTGGTGGTGCCCATTTCTAAGAACAAGTGTGATGTTCATTCAATTAATTCAACCTTTATTTAGGCAGGTAAATCCCATTGAGCCTCGAGGACTCATTTACAAGATGTACAGAGTTGTAGCAACTACAGGGGAATTAAGTTAATGAGTCACACAATGAAGGTCTGGGAGAGAGTTGTGGAAGCAAGATTTAGACAAAAGGTGACTGTGAGCAGCAGTATGGTTTCATGCAGTGGTTAATTTCTGCCGGATCCTGCCGGAACAAGATCCGGGAACTCCCTCTTTCTGACCGACTGTGTTCCGGCAACTGTTTCCTTGGATCCGGCAAATCTCCGCCCCTAAAAGTCCAAAGTCATCGTTTTATTTTGATTATTTATTAAAAATACAACGACCGGAGACGTTGCCCAGTCTTTTGAGTGGATGTTCCAGCCGCACTACGCGCACCAACTCGCACACATACTCCTGCCAGCTGCATGAAGCTGACAGTGGGGTGTCAGCTTCATGCAGCTGCTCCTGCCCAGCAGAGACGTGGACCGCATGTCCAGCAGGCAGCGTCTTCATGTTTCAGCTGTGCGCCCTGCAGGCAGTGCATGTATTACGCACAGGAGCGTCTCCAGACAGCGTCTCCAGACAGCTCTCCAGAGCGCGCACAGCTTCTGATGTCTTGGAACTCCTGCACATAGACATGTACACACAGCTGAAGGTGGATGAAGACGCTCCCTGCGGGACATGCGATATGAGTCTCTGTTGGGCAGGAGCGTGGTGCGCGTGCTGTGGAACATCCACTCCACAGACTGGGCAACGTCTCCTCTTGTTGTATTTTTAATAAATAATCAAAATAAAAAAGGGCAATGACTTTGGACTTTTAGGGGCGAAGAGTTGCTGGGGGGGGGGGGGGGGGTTGACAGAATCGGAGCTGCTCTATCCACAGCCTTTTCTTCTTGCTCTCTAAAATAGTCATTTCAATTCAACCTTTATTTCTACAAGTTGTTGGTCTCATTGATCCTCGAGGACTCATTTACAAGAGAGCCCTGTTTTTAATAAATTTAATTAGATGTTTACAAATGTAGGTAAACAAAGATGTTTAACAATACGTTAAAATACACCAAAATGCAGGTTGCAAATTAAGCCCTGGTTCCATGGCAAGAAAGAGCATCACAGATGCCATCTTTGCTTTGAAGATGTTGATGGAGAAATAAGAGAGGGTCAGAAAGAACTTCATTGTGTCTTTGTGGATTTAGAAAAATGACAGAGTGCTGAGGGAGGAGGTGTGGTATTGCATGAGGAAATCTGGAGTGGCAGAGAAGTATATTAGACTGGTACAGGACATGTATGAGGACATCAGGACAGTGTGAGATGTTCTGTAGGAGTGACAGATAGCTTCAAGTTGGAGGTGGGAATGCATCAAGGATCAGCTCTGAGCCCCTTCTTGTTTGCTCTGGTGATGGACTGACTAACAGATGAGGTCAGGCAGGCATCCCCATGGACTATGATGTTTGCAGATGACATTGTGATCTGTGGTGACAACAGGGAACAGGTGGACGAGAACTTGGAGAGGTGGAGATATGCACTTGAAAGAAGAGGAATGATAGTCAGCTGTAGCCAGACAGAGTACATGTGTGTGAATGAGGCCGGTGGAACAGTGAGGCTACAAGGAGCAGAGGTCACAAAGGTGCAGGACTTCAAGTACTTGGGGTCCACTGTCCAGGAAAATGGGGAGTGTGGTAAAGAGGTGAAGAAGAGAGTCCAGGCAGGATGGAGTGGATGGAGAAAAGTTTCAGGAGTGATTTGTGACAAAAGGGTGTCAACAAAGGTCAAAGGAAAAGTTTACAAGACAGTGGTGAGACCAGCTATATTGTATGGTCTGAAGACAGAGACATTGACAAAAAGACAGGAGAAAGAACTGGAAGTTGCAGAAATGAAGATGTTGAGGTTCTCCTTAGGAGTGACAAGGATGGATAAAATTAGGAATGATATCATCAGAGGTACAGCACAGGTTGAACAACTGGGAGATAAAGTTAGAGAGACCAGACCGAGATGGTTAGGACATGTCCAGAGGAGGGACAGTGGGTATACTGGTAGAAGGATTTTAGAAATCAACTGCCAGGGCAAAGAGAAGATATATGGATGCAGTTAGAGAGGACATGGAGGTAGTTGGAGTGAGGACACAGGATGCAGAGGACAGAGTGAGATGGAGAAGGATGACTCACTGTGGAGACCCCTGAAGAGGGAAAGGCCTAAAGAAGAATAAGATATATATATTAAGGCTTTATAAACCCTTCCCACACTCTTGCAATATTCTAAACTCTTAAACCTACGTAATTTTAACAACATACATATATGTATTGCACAGTACTGCAAAATTTTACTCACTAGCTCTTCAGAACAGCAGCTCGGTTCCGATTCTGCAGACCTTCCCTGCAGCATGAAGCCCACTGCCCCGTTCAGGTTGATGTGTGCCTAGATAATTTGGCTTCAGGGAGCTTCAGGATTCTTTGCTACTTTCCTGCCAGTTCTGTGGCTTAATAGATAATGTAAATTTGTGTTGCAAAACTTTATCTCCATTTCAGCAGAAAACAGCAACCGGAAGCACTGTTGGCTTCTGGGTAATGTAGTTCTTTTGTCTGGCGATACATTGTAGACTTATTGAAAGAAAACTGCAAAATGGTAGCACCTGTCCAAAGTTTTTTTTTTCCCCGTTAACTTTTTATCTTGTACCGTTCCAATCACTTGAGTAATATTAAAGTTGACAATCATTGAAAAACCACGAAAGAGCGAGTCTGCGAAAGTCAAACCGCGAAGTGGCGAAGGACTATTGTACTGTATTTTTATTTTTCTTCCTAACTGATAAGCTCTTCTTCATTCTTCATCCAGTCATTACAGCTGAACATCTTTTTTAATTTTGGTGTCACTGCAGGAGTCTCAGAGGCTGGCGTTTGATGAGAAGCTGGAGGCCTACAGTGAGGTTTGTAGGAGGTTCAAGCCGGTCTTTAGGTACTTCTGCATGGAGCGGTTCCTGGATCCTGCAGTGTGGATGGAGAAGCGGTTAGCCTACACTCGCAGTGTGGCCACCTCCTCCATAGGTACATCCATAACAGTGCTCCTTCATATGTTCTCACCAGGTTATCTTGGTTGTGATTATGTTTCCTGGTTTTCTCCTACAGTTGGCTACATTGTTGGTCTGGGCGACAGACACATCCATAACATCCTGATCGATGAACAGACCGCTGAACTAGTGCACATTGATTTAGGTATTCTCATTTATTTAATTCATTCAAACCCAATAAAATTTTATTATTGTAAACTTTCTGTTTGTAAACTTGTCTTACTGTTTGTCTCAGGGGTGGCTTTTGAGCAGGGTAAGATCCTCCCCACCCCTGAGACTGTCCCCTTCAGGCTCTCCAGAGACATTGTGGATGGTATGGGCATCACTGGAGTGGAGGGAGTTTTCAGAAGGTGAGGAAGAGGATAAATCTTTCTAACACATTTATTTTCTCCTTCTACTGCATCCCATCCATTATCTTTATCTGCTTCTTCTTTTATGGGTCATGGGGGTCACTGGTGCCACTGATGCCCCTGTCCAATAGTCACAGTGTGACACGTTGCATCCTGCAGGTCTCACTGGTCTCCAGTCCTTCACAGGGCCACATATGCCCCTTTTCCATTAGTACCGGTACGGGCCGACTCGACCCTACTTGGCCCGGTTTTGAGGCTTTTCCATTAGTACCGGTACTTAGCACCTGTTACTATTTTCAGTACCCTTGGCTCTGTGGTTCTAACCGGTACGAAGAGGTACAAAAACGTGATGTCAGTACACTGTCGGTCACTGGTTGGTCGGGGGCGGAGTCGGGGGCGGAGTCACTGGATCCTTCAGAAACGTTTCAAAACAATAATCCGCCATTTGCAATTTCTCGGACTGGAGCAGCGGCTGGACTTATTTTAAAGATTTTAAAAACAATACTGACAACATCTTGGTCTAATGTTGATGTGCTGGCATTTTTTGTGCTTGGTGGCCGACAACATAATTCAGAGCAAGCTGGATGGAGCTCTGCTGGTGTACCCCGATCCTCCCTCCGGAGCCTCCGAGCGCCAGGCCGGGCAGGGCTTCATCTCCCCGGCTCCAAGTTCAGCTGGTCACTGCGGAAGATCCTTCGATGTGCCGACTCGGAGGCTCGGGTTCCGGATACCAGCCTTGTGTGCTCAGAGCTCCGCAGGTCACTGTGAAGCTGGAGATGGGGACTCGCAGATGGCCGTTGCCAGACCCCGGCCGCGCGTAATCATGAAGGCTGAATCCCGATCCCACCCGGCAGTCAGGCGGACTGGACAGTGTAGGACGGACGCTGGAAGCGATTTTTTAATAAAATAATATTTTGTTTTTATACAAAAAATGTTTTAAAAAATTGCTGAAGCGATTTAAAAATGATTATTATTTTTTTACACGTAAAATGTTTTTTAAAATCGCTTCCACCGTTTGTCGCAGACCCGTCTCTGTCCGCCTGTCTGCGCGGGTCGGACCTTCATGATTACGCGCAGCTGGAGTCTTGGAACAGCCTCTGTGAGTGACCAGCTGAGCTGGAGCTGGGAAGATGAGCCTCCCAGCTTCCTCCTCTCCGGAGGAGAGGATCAGTGAGACCAACAGAGCGTTGAAGACTAAAAAAAAAAAAAAACGGTGCCAGCTTCATCATGAAATCCTGTTTTCACTTTAATGACCGTTAACTCAGCTGAAAATCATAAAAAGACACAAAACTATTGGATCTCAGGAATATTTCCCTCAAACATGTTTAAAAAAGAGACGACTTTCAGTTCAACTTTATTTTAACTCACAAATGTACAAATCACAAAACAAGAACTTTAAAGCAAAGCTAAAAATAAAATGTATATATGTGAACAAGAAAGGAAACCACACATTTAAAATGAACATTAAAAGTAGACACAATGAGTGCAAATACATCAAATGATGATGAAAACCTATAAAATTTTAAATCTAATGTTTTTGTAGAATCTGGTTCATCAGAGTTTTAATTTATATACATATATATATATATTTATATCTATAAATATATATAGATAAATGTATATGTATATATATATAAATACATATAAATGTATATAAATATATATGAATATATATAAATACATATATATGGATATAAATATATATGAATATATATAAATACATATGTGTATATATATA